ATTAGTTGCACTGTCCAGCAAATTCAAAAAGTCTACTTAGATCTGTATTAGTTTCGAATCTGTAATTCAACTTACCCCCAATTTTCTATCAATCTCATCAATTTTAACTCGTTTTGCATGAATTTTAGTTAATTTCATCATAGATCCGCACAGATCGCGCGTAAGCAGTTTGGCACCCACCGCGGGGAAGTTGAGCTAAAATTTTACACCTTTTAAAACATCAAAGGCTTCTTGTTTTTCTCATATTCATTTTCCAAAAAAAGAAAAAAAAAGAAAAGAAATAACAACCTCATATTGTCATTGTACTCGACAAATTTTAGACACTTTTATACTATTGTTTTGTACATGGAGCATTTTTTAATAGAGGTATTTTTGGTCATTAAGAGGGGTATAACCTCATCTACATAGGGTGTGACATCACCCACATGAAATATATATATATATATATATATATAAATAATGTTTAAAAGTTACTAATTAAAAAAAAATTAACAAAAGGGCTCGTAGGCCCCGAACAGAATGCAATTTGGAGTTCTCTAAGGTATCACCCATGATTCCAAAAATCCCAATTTCTTACCAAGAATTAAGGTCGAACCACGCGAACTAGGCGCACTCTCCACATGCATGAGTTTTTGAAAAAGTTTTGGCACCAAAATTGGATCATTTTCAAAGTTAGTCACTCTGCTGATATCTCTTATCAAAGCAAAGCACATTGGAGATTTTCACCATGAGAAAGCTACCAAAAGTTTCATCTTTTCTTAAATTATGAACTTTTAGAAAGTGACAAGGTGATCAACTCTTTCAAACCATAAATCTTGAAAGTCCATTGTACTAAACCTTGGAATTTTAGAGAGAGAGAGAAACAGATGGTGGATAGGTTAAAGCCATATCTTAAACTCTTCTCGCCTTCAAACAAAAAAAAAAAAACTATTTTTGTTTTTGTTTAAAAAACAGGTTAAGGGTTCTTTTTTTCAGGGAAAAAAAAAATTCATACCATAATTTGTCTTTTATTTTTTTTAAATCCTTTTTGCTAAAAGCATAAAAAAAAGAAAAGAATAGATAAGTTACTTAGGTTTCAGTTCGTTATCTCTTGTTTTCTCCTTATCAGTAAGTAGATTAGGCTTTCAAATTCCGTATCTCTTGCTTTTCTCTTTATCTCCAAATAGATTAAGTTTTAAATTCTTTATCTCGCGTTTTATTATATATTAGATTTGTAATTCTTTATTATTTGGGTTATCCTTAACTTGCATATTAGATTGGCCTTTAACTCCTTATCTATTCGCTCATCCTTAACTAATTAGATAAGATTTAGATCTTTATCTATTTTTGTTTATCCTTATCTGACTAGAGTAAGTTTTCGATGTTTACCTTCCTGCTTTTCTTTATCTTGCATCATTAAATTAGGTAGTTAAGTCTTGTGTGCCTCACCACACTACTTGCACCCACTACTTGTGTGTTGTTTTTCGACAAACTTATCTCAAACGATTTACACTTATCTTACAAGTTTTCAAATGATTTTCTAAAACCCCATATACTGTCACTTATGTCGTACGGGCACCTAGTTTTGTAGCAAGACAGTTGGAAGTGCATCAGTGCTGAAACAAGTATGCATATGCAGAATTCTTGCCACAAAACAAACTCGTAATGGTAAACCTCATACTCCGAAGTTCACCTACAGCTGAGCCTTACATGAGTACTCAGTTAAACCTAGCTGAGTTTTTTGCATGTTTCTAAATTAGTAAGGTTGACTAGAGCTAGCCTACCTATTATTGGAATTATGGCCTTTCAAGGTCTTGCGTGCAATGCTAGGACTATTCAAAGTTATAGTGGGAGTGACCAGGAACATAGTGGCTACCGGAATTTTTGCGTACTAGGACTCAAATAAGCCGAAATAACCTTGATAGAATGAGGTGAAATTCTTAGACCATATTGTGAACTGGGAGGGTGGGATTTTCTCTAGTTATGGCTGCATTGGCCTAATTTCGTGTGTTCCAAGGCTTGGGGATCAGTGTATCCCAGATTGTCTGAGATATTTTGTGTATAAGCCATGTGTGAGAAAAGTTGTCGTCTTAGAGGACATAAGTCCAAATCATCGACATATGCAGCCTGCTTACAATGTGTGCACAAACATTCACATTTTAGGAAGTCGTTCAAATGAGGTAAGGTCCACCTATCATAACTACAAACATATACTGAGAGAGTATCCCCGCATCCGCAAGAGTGCATGTCCTTGGGGCGAACTTGTAATCCACTAAACACCCTTAGGTCCATCCACCTTCGGTTAGCTTTGACAGGTCTGCTCATGTCCTAACTAAAGTTTGTGTCTCGTAGTGGCCTATTGGGTGGGTTTAAGAAATTCGATTGGGATTCTGGGTGTAGCCCACTGGGATACCATGTAGCCTGACCTCCTATGGGTTCCTATTTCCCAACCGGATCTATAAAAAGTGTGAGACAATGATATTTTCTTAGAACTGATAAAAAATGATTTACCATGATTTTAGATAATTTTTTTGAGTTGTATTTCATATGAAAAATGCTTTATCAAAATTGTTGTGTACTAATTCCAAACTAAGACGTTCACACGTGTGGCATGTGACATACAAATGGCCAATGTTTGCCACATGTGCATCTCATGGAACTGCCACATCATTACGTAATCGTAATGGGTATGAAATGGATAGCCCAACCCAAGACATGTGACCCTCGTTTCGTTATAGCATATAATGTTGATAAGTACAAGTGCTTTATGACACATGTGTGAGGTACATTTGTGGTGACATATGCATGTTTACATGTTGGAGTGTAGAGATTTTAGATTTTTCATAAAATATTTAATCTTCTATCTTGTGATTTGAGAAGCATTTGATTTCTTAAATGGAGTGTTATAATTGGTGACGAGGATAAGAGGGACATACCATGACATATGTTTTGGGTATGTTTTCAGTCACATACGAGGACCAGATACATTTTGATACTCATATGATAGACAAGCTTCATATGAGGCTTTAGACAATACCCCATGTGATGCAAATATATAATATAATCCAGATCCATCATATAAATGTCTTAATATGCCTAAAGGAGTCTTGACTCATCGGTTACTCCTTAAAATCCTAAACCACTATTGATAATGCCAATGGTCCGT